CCCCAAAACCCCAAAACCCCAAAACCCCAATTATTAATATTAATATTGAAGGATGGAAGATCCAAAGGAGGTAACTACAGTTCATTATGAAGCTATCCCAGCATCCTTTAACCCTTACTCTACTTGTCTTATGTAATCTTGCCTAGAAAAAGAAGAACAGAAAGCATAAGAAAGAAAAGAAGGAGAAGAAAGAGAAGAAAGAGAAGAAACCTAGGAGTAAGAGATTAGGATAGAAGAGATACTACTTTGTTTTAATGCTTAAGTTAGGATTAAAGTTAGGAGAGGATTAGGATTACAATAGAGACATTTAGTTGAGTCTTAGATTTGCTTTTTGAGTCGGATATTGGGAATCTGTGTTGGATGAATCTTTTTATATGGATAGATTTCTTGTGTTCTTCATTGAAAATTAAGATCCGAACCTTAAGACTTATGTCAAATCTTTGGATTGGTATGCGGTCAGATAGCTTAGGAATTATAAAAGTATAATGAAAACAAGAAAAATGAGCTAGGCCTTGAGACTCGACATTTTTAGTTTTAATTTCCCAAAATTTATTTGATGAGTGTATTTCTAGATCTCTATCTCTTTCTGAGAGAGTTTAGAAGGGAATTTTGGAAAATTCTTCACAATATCCAGGAAGGTTTAATAAATTTCTTTGAACTTGAGATTCGTTAAAATCTGATATACTCTAAAATAGACATATTATTTTGAGAATCTTTGATTCAACCAAAGTTTAACACTAGGTTTATGTATAAGAGAGGAACCTTCTTCTAAAATCTTACTTTAAAGTTCTCGGGTGACACTTACACTATTCCAATCATTAACTTAAAGAAAAGGATATTTAGATCTTAATAGATCTAATCTCTAGTTCTTAACACAAAGCTGATTTTACCTAAAATAGCTTTTGTCTTAAATTTTTGTACTCTGTCGTTAACTTTTCTTCCTAAATTACTGTATTTTTGTAAAGAATAATAATTCATACTATTTTATTGAATTTAACACTATCTAATATCAGACCTTTATCATAACTAATAAATATAGAGCCCAAAAAGAAAGATTGTGAAGAAGACAAGGTAAGGAAATTTTGCATAATTCAACTCTTCTCGCAAAAAAGACTTCAAATATCCATAAAACCTCTCTCTAACATTTTTTTAATTTTAAAATAAAACCTCCCTTAAAACCCCCTCTATCACCCCTACTCCCCTCTCACCTCCATAGCAACCACCCCCAGATCCCCCTTCACCCCCCTCAAACCCATACGAAACCGACATATGCCAGTACATGTACTTCACAAACTTCGGTCGCTCACCCAGCACTCCAAAGCCAGGTAACCCCCAAATCTAACCTTCAGACCCCCTCCCACTACCCATTCCCAAATAAACTCAGACACTTAAAACTGCTCTTCCCCCTGAATGACTACTTGGCTTGAAAACTTGCCTCTAGAGATAGGGAGAAATTCTGGATTACTGAGAATTTTAGTAGAGGTGAACAGAATCCGTTCGATGTCTTTGTGGAACAGGATAAGAGGGATGAGGTTATGAAGATATTGGAGAAGTTGAAAGCTGTAGGAGAGAGTGTAATTTTTAGAACAAAGCGTGCCCGTATACTGTACATATGAAGTGGAATATTAGTCATGTGTTGTTGGAAGAGATAGTGCAGGAACAGCAGCAGGATGAACTGATTTGGGAGAAATCAGAAGATTCTGACCTAGTGCCTACTGCTTGTGCAGTACAGATTGTGGATAAGCCAGATGATAGTGGTAAGTGGGTGGGTAAAGGGGATGTAGTAGAAGGGAGAGGCTGGGACTGAAGGGAGGGAGGAGGGATTTAGGGGATTTGAGAAGGGAATTTTGGGGAGAAGAAGTTGGGGTTTAAGGGATAAGGATGTGAATTAGGATATGGGTGTTTTTAGGGCTATCTGAGGATTTGAGGGGAAATTTGATTATTGTTATGATTTGAATAAAGGATACTTCTTGCTTTAAATTTTGAAATTTTTGATGAATTTGTAATTTATAGATGACAAAATTGTCGAAATTGTTGGACTTGAAAAAGCAAGCGTGATAAGAAAGTAATTATTGTATTTGATGTTTAGAAAAGAGTATCTTAGTGCCAAAGTAAAATATACTGTCAAGAAATTTAAAAAGACAAAGAGCAATGAGATAGTGGTGCCTATTAACGGCCTGCCAAAATTTTATGCTGATAATTTAGAATTTTTAGGTATGTCTTTTAATAGAATATTTTTGGCGAAGTTAAACTTCTGAACCATTAAATTCCAGACTTATTATTTTTGAATTAATTTTAGTTTTGTATTTATACTCTATATTGCTTTACAAACTAGAGAGAGGTTATCAAACTTAAGCTTCTCTACTATAAAATTTGCCAATATTCCATTTCATTTTCAATTTTTACATTTTACTTTTGAGATTTTAACCCAATCCACAGGAGTCGAAGAAATTGATATCGATGAGAAAGACTCCAACTATGTTATCACTTTCGAATGAACAGAAGAAGAAAATGATCAAATCAGGAAGGAGTTCAACACACTCTACGAAACCATCATTGATAGAGATTTCAAAATAAACAAAGATTTCATCAAAATTGTTAAGAAAATTTCTAAGAAAAGCTTTTTCCCCCTATTCAAGAAAGCAGTTGTTACTTCTAAAAGTATATCATTGATCTAACAAATAGAGAAGAAAAATACTGGAATATCCAATAAAGATTTCGATATGGTCATCGCTAAGACTAATGAGTCGAAAGGAAGCTTCACCCTTAGAGGCACTGAAGAATCAATCTCCAAAATAATGTAATTTCTCTCATTTACCTGACATAGCACATATCTGAAGGCATTTTATCATGAACTATTCCCTGATTTTATCATAAATGATTTTAATGAAGAACACGAAGAGGAACTCCCCTCCACTAAATTGTAAGGAATCTCTTCTCAACCATAGTGTGAAAGAAGTGCCCTTTGCAGAATTCATAGAATACAAAACTCCCTCAAGTAAGGTTAGTCTTAATCCTTAGGGATATTTAAAAGAAACATCATTAGACAAATCAGTGAGTTCAACAAGACTGAAGGGATCTACTGCAGACATGAGTTCGAAATTCCAAAAATATGGATTTACAGCTACGAAGCATCCCACTTTGAGAGGTAATCAGTTGTAATAATCCATAGTTGTGTGGAAGAATTCAACGAAATGGTAAACCTACTTTAGCATCCATAGATCGATGAGGAATTTAGCACCTCTGTAAATGAATTCTTCTGGAAAATCCAGAACAAAGAAATACTTAAGTATATTAAAAAGGAATACAAAAGTGAAGTTGAGAAAATAAAACAGGAAGTATCTGTCCAAATAAAGTTTGATTTTGAATGTGAAGCTCCTCCTCAAGGTAATCTCTTGATGTGATCTATAGATGCTACTGTATTCAAAGTCAAAACTAAAGCAAAGTCTTTATTTGAGGAAGAGGATGAATGGACTTTTATAAAAGTCACAGTCGAGTGTAAGAATTGGTGGAGGTTAATATTCTAGCAAACAAAAATACCTCAGAAAATGAATATTTGGATACCATCAAAGAATTCATCAAAAAGTAAGTTAATTAAAATTATCCAGACTCATACGAAAAAATTCTAATATTTACTCCTTCATGACTATCTCTCACCCAAAACCTTGACCAAACTGTCAACCACCACTAAACCCTCTTTAGATGCAACAAAAAGATCATAAACTTCGATCTATCCCCCTACGCTCACATAATCGGTTCTCTCACCAAGGACAAAACCATCTCTATAGACGCTACAACCTCTAAACTTTCACAAGTAAGCCCTTCACACTAATTAATAGTCATCTAATAAGAAATCAGAGATGAACATGCTGAAGAAGTTCAAGTTTGAACAAATTGATAGTTATTGGATCTATGAGGAAAATGAGATTGGAACTAAGGAGATTAAGAGCGAAGAGGCTAATGAGTATTTGTCAAATACGTTTGAAGGTGAGATTGGAATCAGTTAGGAAGATTAGATAGGCGGGATAGCTTTCGGCCTTTTTATTAATTTTTGGAGTCAGGGGAGGCAAAGAGGGAATTTTGATTTTTAATCGTTAAAAATAACTAACTTTTATTTAGAAGTCACAGAAAAATCAGAGCTCATCATTGATATTGGTAAGGAAAAGATACTAGTGAGACTTTTGCTGTCTCGCTTTAGATATAAAATATTCTCTAATGTATAAACTGTTTATAAAAAGAAGTAATAATTATTTTTGATCTTATAAAAAAAACTGATAATTTTATTTGGTAAAATTCATGTTGCAAGCTTTAACTATTTTATTGCTGAATATTAACATCAAAACACAAAGTGAATAATTTTCTGTTAATTTACAATTTACACAAAAGAGCACCTCTTTGCAACCAAGGTCCAATTAGGCTTAATCAGATCCTTTAACACCTTACTATAGAAAAGTTGAAGGAAATTATTAAAGAAAAGAAGAAGAGTAAAAAGAAAAAGGATGAGCAACCAAAAGAAGAGAACGAAGAAGAGAACGAAGAAGAGAACGAAGAAGAGAACGAAGAAGAGAACAAAGATGAGAATAAAGAAGAAAATAAGGAGGAGAGTAAAGAAGAAGCTCCAATAATGCAATTCAAAGCAAATGTAATACCTGATTTCATCCTTTAGGTGTATTATAGAATCAATGGTGAAGTGATAGATGATCATGAGCATGAATTCTTTGAATACGCGAGCAAAATATTATGCTTTGAAGAGATAGTTGAAGAGGAAGATTCTGAGCCAGAATTCTACATTTTCAGATGTATTCCAGAATGCCAAGTTATTGGAGATAGAATTAAAATAAAGGGACTAAAGAAAAACTTAGAGAATTTAATGAGCCAAAGTAGAGACACTAAAATTCCAATAGAAGGTAAGTATATGCTACTAACTATATGTTATTGATTATCTGGTTTAATAAAAATTTAAATATTCTTCTTCACAAGAATATTTTAATTTATGATTTATGCAGTCAAAATTATCTAAAACACATTCTTAATGTTAACTTGTCCTTACTTTTATCTGCAAGAATCCTTTTTCTGATAAAGAGATCAAGGAAGAATGCAGCATTTTTACAAAATTCCATACTCTCACTAAAGCCAATGTAACAATTTAAGAGTTGTCAAAAATAGGTCACTTATTTCTTTGATGAGATGGCTTAAAGAACACAATAAATGATCTTTTGTGAGGAAATGATCCTATTCCCCAGACGTATCCTCCTTCTTCTTGCTCTTCTTTGATTTACCATAAGTGAATATTATAGCATAAATTCTTAGATTACACTAAAATCAGCAGCCAAAAGTTCTGGCTTTCTTCTTGGTGCAACATCTGTAATCATCTTTACGCTATTTCTCTAATTTTAAATAATCCGAAGCAAGAATATTTTCAAGGATTGGGATAACAAACTTTTAGGCTTATTCATGAATGCTTAATATTCTTAAACTTTTAGGTACCTCTAGATTTCATAAAAAATAACACAGTGAATCTCCGCTGATTATTGTTCTAGTTATTTTTTGAAGTACACAAATTTTTTGTTTGAAGTCTGAAACTTTGTATAGAAGAAGGATTCTTTCAGCTTTCCAAGTCTGAACAGAAAGCATTTCTAAAGAAAATATATTATGAATATGGGTGAGAGATAGAGATTGAGATCGAAGGGAACAGTGAAGGAGAAGGTGAAGAAGAAGGATATGAGGATGGTATAGCTGTAATTACTGCTATTGGTTTTGACCCTTCACCCGTATTGGAATTATATTATAATAACATTCATATCAATCCTGATATTGAAGAGCAAAGAGCCCGTAAACTCTACCCAAATTTCTGGGAAGAAACCAAGGATGTTTACGAATACCAAGATGAAGGTAACTAAATATCTGACTTCTTTATCTTAAATTATAGGTTTCCAATGGAAAGTTAAACCAAATAAGAATCGTAAGTGTTTAAAATTTGATCTATTCCATGTTTAACAATGATATAAAGAAGAGGAATATGAGGAATTTGAAGCAATGATACTCTCAATGGTATTTATTTTTAAATAACATTATTTCTAGTCTACTCTTGAAGGTTTTACCATACAATCTATTAAAAGGTTTCAGAATCACAAGAAGTATAAAGCTTATGCTGATGAATTGCAGATAATTAAGGATAACCTGAAGAAAGAAAAGAAAGACTTAGAGCCGGAAATGTATGTCACTATTCCCTTGCTTTGTTTATCTTTATTACATTTTTCAAGAATTTGCCTGATAAAATTTGAACATAGGTACCTATTTAACATTTATCGCTACCAAACGACAGATGATATTCTCGTATATTATTTCTAATCCTGTAGAATGGTGAGGGGGAAGTTACCTTCGAGTATAAGCTTATCGCTGATGATGATGAGGAAGGAATGAGAAATAAAGAAGTGTAATCAACTACCTTAATTTCTCTAGAAATTATTTAGGAAAACAAGCGAATTATTTTACAAACAGTTTAGAGTTAACTCATAATATTGGTACTGAGAAAAAGATCAAAGATGGAAAAGTTACTGTTTACACAGTAATTCTTGCACATTGCATTCTTGGAGAAACATTTAGTAATTACTTATTTTAAAAGTCTAGCAATTGGGCAAAACGATAGCATTAAACACACGACGATAAATGGTGTAACATACGATTCTTTAAACACTGAAATTGATGGCAAACAAGTCTACAGTCTGTACACTAACCAAAAGGCGTACCCTGAGTACATCATTGAGTACACAATAGAAGGAGAGTAATTATTTCAATGAGAAAAGAACGCTTCAAGAGGAATGAGGTGGAGGGATAGTGGGCTTTGGGGTGGTGGATTAGGGGTAAAATGAGGTTTGAAGAGGAAGATTGTGGGTTTGGGGAATTTTGTAGAGATTTGAAATTTTAGGTTTTTGGGTTGATTTTAAAGTATGTGCTTCTATATTGGGTATACTGTGCCCTCTCCTTTTCAATCCTAAATTTATTACTGGGGTTTTGGGGTTTTGGGGTTTTGGGGTTTTGGGG